AAGAAAAAAACCAACCCCCCCCCAAAAGGAAAAACATGGAACTTAATTGCTGGATAACAGCTGAACTTTGGGTCTAATGGCATTCATTTGTCTTTTTCTCTCAAGCCGTTCTTCATTTGTTCATTTTTCATTCACTCACTTCTCATTTTCTACTTGGGCGGCTTTGTGCCAGTGTTCACAAGTAACTCAAGACATGACTAGGACATGGTTCTTCATCTCAAGGAAGTCACAATGGAAGGTGTGTAACGTAGAGATGACTACTCTTAGTAAGTCAATGCAATAACCTGTACGAAGCGTCTGTTACTTGCTAATATATACAGAGTGATTACTGCTACTAACCTAATCAAACTCTTCGGACTCGGTGAATGTGGTTTCCATATCACATTACATAGAGGAGAGAGTGGCGCCAAGGACACATCAAAATCACAAAACCAATAATGAAAGCAGGATTGGAACTTGGGTCCCTCTCATACCTGGGGTTTCTGCTTCAGTCCTCAATGGTAGGTAACTATCTTTCAGGAAGGGGCTAGGTGCTGAGATTACAGATCTACATGAGATATGATTTCAGTCAAGGCTTCTGAGGAATCCCAAGTCCAATGGCTCACATGGATAAAGGAAGAGAAAATGATAGGCCAACCAGTGGCATGGTGGTTAATGCAGCTGGATCCCAGATGGCCAACCATGCAGTTGGAGTCCTGGATCCGGTGGCTTAAAATACATACCATACACATATGCATATATGTCCAAAATCCCAACAGGAGGGAGAAATGAAGGAGAAGGGAATGTGGTGTGACCACCCCCCACTGGGGGTCCTTTCTCACTCTTCCCCCCACCCTTCCACCTCTGCCCTTGTATATATCTTTCTGGAGAATGTAAGAGCCCTCTGGCAAAATTCCAAGAGAGCGAGAATCCATTGTGATCATTGGCAAAAGAAGCATAGATGCATTTCAGAGTGACTGGTTACCCTGTTTGGGGTAAGGGAGGCTTCCTAGGGGAGGTGTACAATCACTGGAATAGCTGGCAATCGCTGGCTGAGTGAGAACTGTTTGCTGGAGCGTTGCTTGTAATAGCAGCACACAGCAATGTTGTCATTTAGTCTGATTCACATCCTCTGTTAAAGGTTACATATCAACATCTTCTCTAAACTTCCAGACAAAGCTACAAGATAGACATTGTTCTCTTTTCATAGAGGATTAGAGATGCATAAGCCACTTTGGTAAGTGGCCATGGTGACAGCTATATCCAAAACTGACTCTGAAGATTGGGCCATTTCTCATTGGGCTGATGCGATTTCCCCAAGGTCAGCCACAGGCTGAGTTTTTACCTGGGCTTTGTGCAGACCTGAACCCAAGAAGAAGAAACTAGGTGGAACCTACAGAAACAAGCCACTGAGCAGTTTCCTTTTTTTTCTGGGAAACTTGAGGATGTTCCACTACTCCCTGGAAGCTGCTTAATAGCACTTACTATCCCTGGCCATATCTGGTTCAGATTTCTGGCTAAGGGGCAGGTGGTGAAGGATCACATGGGTGACACTGCAACACGCCTCCAACTTCTCCTGAGTGAGGTGCACACCTGTGTGCATGTGTGACATTAGAACCTGCCCCAGTTTCTCTTGAGTGAGGTGCACACCTGTGTGTGCATGACATTTCAATACACCTCCAGCTTCTCTTGGGTAAGGCGCACATCTGTGTGCACACAGTGAGATCACCACGGGGGATTTTCAGAACACAGGGGGAAATGTTGCATCCAACAGAGAAGCGGGTCTACAAAAGGAAGTCTGCAGGACAGAGAGATCCCATAGCCCCAGGAGGGGCAGGGGCATATTTAACACAATTCTGGGAAACTGTGATAGGTGAGATCAACTTTCCAATACACACTATTTCCTCCTCGAGTTAGGGTCAATAATCCCTTTTGGAAGATGAGAACACTGAGTCTCAGTGGAAAAGAATCTTATCAACAAGCCCACAGGAACAGAAAGAGCTCAGCTTCAGCTGCATCCACCTGCCTCTGCACTACCCGAGCATTTGCTTCCTCCTTCTCTCTGGCTTTTAGAAATGTGGAAAACAACTCAAGGGAAGATGATCACCTCCTCCACATTGGTCTGGGGCTTCGTGGTAACAGCAGGTTGGGAGCCCTGGCTGGCCATTCAGGAAGGTCAGATATTTTTCCAAGCAAAACTTCTAATACATTTCAGTAATGATTACTTGGTATCAGAACAATGGAATTTCCTGTATAAGAAAATACTAGGGATTTTCATAAATTCTTTCTACAGGGTGACATCAGTCATTCATACGTGTGTGTGTACATATTATTTCTTTCATGATTGAGAAAGAGATGCAGAGAGACAGAGACATAGTACCCCTAACAGTGTCCTAACTCCACCCCCAGTCCCAGATCATGGGCAAGCATGTGCCCAACCTACTCAGGGAAGTCTCTGGATACGAGCCAAGTACCTTCCCATATGGGTCAGCTTCTCAGAGCTTTGCGTTTTACCACTGCATCACCATCCAGCCCTGAGTCATGCATGTATTTATTAAATATATAGTTAAAGCAACTGCATCAGAGACCAGCAGAGGGCATAATGATTATGTTGCTGGACTCCCACATAGTTAACCGTGGTTCAAGTCTCGGACCAGGTGGCTTGAATTCACACTGGTCATGTATACATGCATGCCCAAGATCCCAAGAGGAGAATGGAGGAGAAGGATTGCAGCATGGCCATCCTCCCCTCGAGGATGATTTCTTGCTTTCTGTCTATCTGTCTCTCTGGTAAGCGCATATGCCCTATAGCAAAAGATCTCTTAAAAACAAACAAAAAAAGGCAGCTACATCATGCCTGGCACCTGCCTAGCAGGCTCTGAGCATACTTCTGGTAATACGAAGGCCTCAGCAAGCTCATGGAAGTAGGGGGAAGAATTCCTACTAACAGAGCAGTGATAGAGTGTGGGGGCCACAAAGGCAGGGGTGATCTGTTGACGCCACTTGGAGCAGAAGTCCACAAAGAGCACAAAGCTCGAGGTTCACCTGGGTTGTTGCGGCAGGGCTATGAAGAGATGGGGAAGAACAGGACTCCTTAGGAAACTAGAGTTTACTAGGGCTGGGCCAGCAGGAGTGGAGATTAGACATGGAGGTGAGAGGAAATCTTCAGGCAGCCTGCTGTGTATTTCAGGCTAAAGAGTTCGGATATTTTTCCCCCAGAACTATTAAGCTTGAGGATGGTGTGGCCAGAATGGTTAATAACTTTGTGAAAACCAAGGCAGCAAATGGAGCATGTTTCCTCACGTCTCTAGGCCTGTTAGGGGCAAGTGAGGCAGTTCAGGCACAAATTGAATCATTGGGAACTGTGTAAAGGGGGCTGGACCAAATGGACAGGCTAGTGTCTCAGTGACAGAGGCTGGATGAGAGGTCATAAGGAGAAAAACTGCCTTTTCCCAGAGCAGCACCATGCTGACTAGGGGCCCCAGACAGGCTTTGAAAAGGGGCCTGCATTTGGGTATGCTTTTTCATTACAGCTAAAGTGCACCAGGTTTCAGAGCAGTGTTGAGGTGGGGTAAGGTGGTTTCAGGACACTGGCAGAGTAGCTTAGAGAAATGGATGCTGATTGCAAAGAAGAGTAGGGAGGATGAGAATGGACCAGAAGGACTCCCAACTCAGAGAATGCACATTCTTCAGTTACCAAGGGATTCAGGAGCTTGCCCTGCCCACCCATTCCATGTCTGAATTGTCCCGACAGGCTTTTGGACAGGTGGTCTTCAAGACTCTGCTTGCACAGTTCCAGTGATGGTGACTCACTTCCTTAGGTGCCAGCTGTCCTACCCTTGAATGACTCTGTCAGGAAGGTTGCCCTCACTCTGGGTTGGAAGTGGCCTTTTGGTGGTGCCACCCACTGGCCTAGACCCATGATTTGGGTAACACAGGACAGTATAATCCCTCTTCCATGAACAGGGATCCCATTTCCCCTTTAATGGCTTTTCCCAGCTAGGCATTTCTGGGCCCTTCAGCTATTCCTCACTGGATAGGATTTCAAATCCTCTTACTCATCTTAAAACATGTAGGAGTATCTCTATGTCACTTACAGCGTACAGTCCACAACTGATAACGATATTACGTTCGAATCATTTCAGCCTCACTACAGCTCTGTGAGGGCAAGAGCCGGGATTCTTGAGTCTGCATAACGTCAAGACACATGCTCATCCCACGCATTGCTGAGATAAATGCAATCAGCAAAGACTAAGCACCCTAGTTGTTTTCACATCGGCTCTGGCAAATCACACGTACCTCTGCTCAAGAACCTTAGTGCTGCCTCAATCATGTACACGGGCTGCTTTCTGAGCACCAGACTGAGGTCCTAAATATGCATTCTGGGACTACTATGGGCTTGGAGCAGTACCGCGGAGCTGGGGATTCTCTTCTCTGACTCAGATTCCCAGGTGTCCCATCAGCAGGCGGAGTCCAGGTGCAGTGAACCCAGATGTCCTTAATGCAGTCAACACCCTGGGCTCTCTGCAAGCACACTGCACACAGCCTGTCCCATGATGCAGCCCACAGGCTGGACCCCAACATACACCACAAACTCTGGCCAGCCCTTCCCTACTGTCCCATTGAAACTTCTCAACTATGTTTAGATGAGACAGGCAGCTCTCTTCCCAGTAAAAAGACACTGTCTTCTACAAGACCAGGAGCCTGTAGTACAGCCTTGGCTGGAGACTCTTGCCATGGAAAACCTGAGACCTTGAGGCCCTTGGACAGCATGGTGTGCACAGTTCGACCTGCTCCCACTCCTGGAGCAGACCTTCATCCCCATCAGTACCCCTCCCTCAGGCCTGCTCTTTCCACTTCATGCCTCCTTTGCCTGGAGGAGCCCCCAGCATGCAGCCCCCAGCAAAGACGAACAATTTGTGACCCTCATTCCAGAACAGGAGTTCCCTTCCACAGGCTGCAGACACAGTCTCAGAGGGAATCCAGGTCGCGGAACCCCAGCAGGTGAGAGATGTACTTACACTTACAGGTTGACTTTTTGGCACATCATAAACACCTTCTTTCTTTTGGCTGGTGGGAACCTACGGAAAAACCAAATTCAATACAGTTAAAACACTCTGGTGCTCCAGTTTCAAAGCACACAACAACCAGACTTCAACTCCAGGCTGGCTATGAGTTTCTGAGAAGGGCCCCTGGGACCTGTCTGACTCCAAGGAGCTGCTCTAGTGAGGAAAGCATCAGGATCCATCCTTGAAGAAAACTGGAGAAGGGGAGGGGTGGGCATCCAATAACAAATGTTGAAGGGTGTCCCTGTCACTGGCTCCTCACAGAAACACAGACTAGGAAGCTGCAGAAACTTCAGGGATCATGTGGTGAAAAACATTAACCCTCATTTCATGAAAGACAAAAAATGAGGCCCAAAAAGGTGCTGTGATTGTGATTAAAAATACTGGGTCGTTGGAAAAGTCATGACACATGTTTTCTGATTTTCTACGCCCAAATGCATCATGTCTTTTCGATGACCCAATAGGAATAGTTAGTAGCTGAGCTTTAGCTTGTTCAGAGCTCAGTCTGAGATCCAGGCTACTGAAAATACAGCACACATCAAGGTCCTAGTACAAAAAGTACAGCTTCTGTCGGTTTCACGTGCAAGCCAGCTGAGAGTTACCAAGGGTTTCGCTTAAATGGCATGGAAAGCGTGGGCTAAGGATCCAGATCATGATTGTTTATTTTCTTTTTTAATCAAATACTGCAGTCCTGACTTAATCCATATAAAATTGAGAGAGGTGTTAGATCTGTAATAAAAATCCAAGCTTGGGAAGGGCAAACTTCAAAACTGCAGCCAAGTAACGAAGGTGGAGGAGGGTGAGTGAACCGGCACGTTGGAACTGTGGGGATAGGTAATCGACCACTGTCAATCCAGTGAAAGTTTCTTAACTTCTCATGGAAAATGTGTTATATACCTATACTTTTCCTTCCATACTTAAGTCTGTCAGTATCCAGATATGCCTGTCCTGTTTTTTGTCTCATTTTTGTCGGTGATTGTTTTTAACATGTATCTTCATCGTCCTCCCTTCCCTTCTCCATCTAGCCCTCCTGGGCCCCGTGGTAACTGTAATACCCTAACCAGGTTGCTCAGCTTCCTCTTCTGAGCTTCACTATTATCGCTGGGCTCTATTAGCTCTGCCTCTCGCTCAGGTTATTGTGAGGATCAAATGAGAAAATGAACATTAGCTCAACAAAAACTATTAGGTACCATAATGCTATACTGTGTTAGAATAATCATTTCTTTTGTCACTGATGCATTATATAAATATGTACAGGAACACATTTTATGATCCTAACAATAGTGGCTACATTGACTCCTTTCCTAAGTCAATTAAGAGCTTTGAATTGAAACAGTCTGGACAAGGAATAATAACTAGTCTAGTAGTTCACACCTGCACTGCAGGGCCTGGCCTGTGGTGGCTCTTTAACAGTGTGTCTTTCTATCCAATGGATCAGGCTCTCCTGAAGAATGCCTAACCCCCAGCAGGAACTCAATACATGCCTGTTGGGTAAATGTGCTGCCAAAGAATGTGGAAACAAGGAGGAAAAGGAAGGAGCCCCTGTCACACTTGAATAAACTAACCACACCATTATTCCAAGAAAAGTAAGAAAGAGCTTATCCTTTAAGTTCTTTTGTCATTTGTACTTACATTTAACTTAAAACCTTTGTAATAACCTTAATATATTGGTATTATCATTTCCATTTTATTAGTAGGAAGTGGAGCTCAGAGATATTAGGGACTTATCCCAAAGCTGATAAGTGGTAGGGTTTAAGCTCAGCTCCTCCTGGCTACTAAATAAGATATTTATTATTAATCATATGAGCTAACATGGACTGGGCATTTTCTGTGTGCCAGGCATAGTTCTAACATTTGTCTTTTATATACATTCTTGGGACCAGCAGTTGGTGTAATGGCTATGTCACCGGACTCCCACGTAGCAGACCACGGTTCAAGTCCCAGATCTAGTGGCCTAAACTCACGCCGGGCGTGTGTGCCTGTGTGCCCAAGATCCCGAGAGGAGAATGGAGGAGAAGGGATTGCAGTGTGGCCATATCCCCTGGGGGGTGATGTCTTGCTTCCCATCTTTCAGTCTCTCCCTGTCTGTCTGGTGAGCACACGCACCCTATAGCAAAAACCTCTCCAAAAACAAACAAACAAAAAATACATACATACATTCTCATGTAATCCTCAGGACAAGTCTATCGGGTATGGACTACAACTGCCCCTGTGTTGCAGGCCTGGAGAGGGACTGTGATGAGTACAGGAGTTTGTCATTTGATGGTTACACAATACAAACAGCTATTTGGGTGCATCTTTTTCTTTAACATCACATCCTGTATGACCAGAAGTTCATGCACATTCTTGCAGAAAACAGAACTCTGCATGGCCATGACCGTGTGGATGAGGCACCCCTAGATGTGTTCTCCCAAGTCTCAGGCTGCAGGTAGCTCACACACACTGAAATTTCTTCGCTCCTGCTAACTGGGCACCACGAGAAGGAATCCTCTAAGAATGCCTGCAGAGTTCTAGTTAACAAGGGCCAATAAATTACCAGCCCTCACTTTTGTTTTTACTAGCTCACCCTTTACTGAGAAAAATGAACAGCATTCTGTTCCCCGTAATTCACTGCTTACTACGGGCACTTAGCACAGTTGAACCGCAGCTGCCTCTCAATTATCCCTGCGAATGGAGGAGAGGCAGTGGGATGGAGAAACCCAAACTGTGCATAATTGAAAAAGCTTTTCCACTCGGCTCTCCCATGGGTGAGATATCAATCCGCCTGTTTGTCCTTTAAGATTTATCTCAGTTGGAGCATCTTCTTGGAAGCCTCGCCTGACTCTTCAGGCCTGGTCTGGAGCCTTCCTCTGTATGCTTGTAACCTCAGGTGCACCCTTCCATTAAAAGTAATAGTTACCAAGTACCATCACGTGTCAGGCACTGTTCTTTTCCTAGGACAGTGAGGGCGAACAAGGTTGGTATGGCCCAGATTTAACAGTGCTTATTGTCTTACTAGGGAAGATGAAGAAGGAATAAGGTTACTGAAATAGAGTAATGAACTTTATCTGATCATGGGGTTATCGCACTGCTTTGTAACTGTTCGCAGGTCTACAGACCCACAGCTCTGTGAGCTTGCTAAGGGCAAGGTGGATATTTTATTATTCCTGTGTCTCTATCTGTAAATACTGGTTAAGCAATGAAATGTCTAATCATCTGAGATTAACCACAGGAGTGCTTAGATCTGTGGTTGTGATGCATCAGTTTCATGGTCCTGGCTCTTGTCTCTGCCTAGGTGGGCCATGGCTCTACACAGACCATTTTGGGAACACAATACCACAGATGGATGGAAGTTTCATCTGAAAGAAGCTAGTCTCCTGGCTCTGCCACGGGGTGGTGATTGAGAGGAGTCACTCTGCTCTCTGGACCTCTGTTTCCTCATCTGATTGTGTGGGTCTCTAACTAAGGGGTTGTCTATGAACTCCTTGGGGTGGGGGGGTCACTGTTATTTCCCCTATGTGCCTGAGACATGCTAGGTGCTCCATAAATAATTACTACTTTTTTTTTTTAAGAAAGATTTTTTTTGCTATAGAGCCCGTGGACTCGTGGAGGGACAGAGAGACAGAATGTGAGAAATCACCCACCTGAGGAGGGATGACCATGCCATAATCCTTTTTCCTCCATTCTCCTCATGGGATTTTGGGCACACATGCACACACATCTGGTGTGAATTTTAAGCCACCAGGTCCAGGACTCAAACTATGGTCGACCATGTGGGACTCCAGTGATGTAACCATTATGTCATCTGCTGGTCCCAATAATTACTTCTTGAATGAACAAGTTAATAACTGTTACATTACTCTAAAAACTATGCGAGTACTGAACATACTGAAGATGCTTTTACTTCAGCAGCCTGTTAATTATACTGTGGAGAGGCAGTTCAAGAGGATGTCGAGTAACATAGGAGTAGAGATTTAGCATTTACAAATAATAATACTTGACGCATGTGGTGTGATTAACAATGATTTTTGAATGAATGACTTGAAAAGGGCCACTTGGGAAGCTGATCTCTCTCACGGAGGAAGTTTGTTAAGGTATTAAAGAACCCTAGGTTTAGAATCAGAGGTTCTGACCTTAGGGAACTTGCTTTTTCTTGTTTAAAATGATAGAGAGTCATTATAGCTATTCATCCTACTTCACTGAGCTATTGGAAGGGTCAAAATTAAGTGCTGTCTCAAATACACTGTATTGTGAGGCTCTACGTTGTTTTCAAAAGAAAACTGGTAACTTTTTTCTGAGGCCCACAAAGCAAAAGATAATTATTAACCCAGCTGCAGAAGTGAGACTGAAGATCCTCAATGGAGGTTACCTTTACTGAAGAGCCTCTCTCTCCCTATGTCGAGGCTTAAATAGCAAATTCAGGAGAGGTCGCGGCTCTCTGCCTTGCTGTCTGACCAGGTGAGGTGAGCAGTCCCGTCCTCTGTCACATATGACATCATCATGCGACATCTTAAACCGCATCTGAAATTGGCTGGCGACGGGGGCTGGTGGTGGTGGGGGGGGCGGTGTAAAGGGAACTAACGTGGACATGGAATCTGCTGCGGACCAAGTGCGTCCCTTGACACTGTATATTTTCCCATCACTTCTAGGAGCAGACAGTAATATTTCCATCAGAAAGCCAGGAAATTGAGGTACAAAAATTGCATACTTAACACAAGGTCACAGGGAAGGATTAGGTTCCAGACCTGTTTATCTCATTCCAGAAAACAGAGTAAATACTACCTGAGCCTGCCCTGGGTCAAACTGAAGTATGAGAAACACTGCAAGCTACTCAGGAGGAAGAGCTACAGAACCTTTGTGGGTCCTTAAAAAATAAATAAATAAATAAATAAGTAAAGGGAGAGAGAATGAGGCTCCTAATAGCAGCTCTGTAAAAGCACAGCCTTATCTTTAGACCCAAGAGCTTATCTCTTGTTAAGTAAATTGAGCCCCAGCAGACTGGCAATGCAGGAGAGGAAAATGACCAGAGGCTTTCCAATAGAAGGTGATAAAATATTCATTCCCTTAAATGGTAGCTTCCTGTTAATGATGGACAGATGGGAAGATCCGCAGGTCAGAACTGTTAAAGCAAGTGTGATTTTCAGATAGGGACTGGAACCCCCCACAGAATCTCATTGTGTAATTCAGAATCAGGGAATTCTGGAGCTGAAAAGCACCTCAGGAATTATTTATTTATTTTCAGAGCTCAGAGAGGCCTGCAAAAAGGTGGATGTGGTGGTGGGGTCCTGCATGAAGGCTTTCAGGATATGCCACCTCCAAGAAGAGCAGGCAGGGGTATTCTCTGAACTCCCTTACCGGTCTAAAGATAGATCTCCCAAAAGGAACTCCTGGTCACAAATCCTCTCTTAGGAAATCTTACCAATGAGGGAAGATTACCTGGGAGAGGAGAGGAGCCTGCAAGTTGAACTCCCTGCCCAATTACTTATTTTTCTGAGGTTAGCTCTAAGATAATTTTTACTATCTGAGAAGTTGGTCCGCACGACACACTATTCACTGAAGAGTTCCTTCCCTCACTCTCCCATGACATGTTGTCAACACCCTCACTGAAGCCCGAAGTCCCTATTTCTTTCTGTAGCTTAAGACGCTGTATCATTGTCAATTATCTGATACTTCTTACAGTCTCATACTTTGCAGGATTTCCATGCATGTATGGAATTCCTTATGGGGTTTTTCTTATTAGCCTGTCTTACATCAATGTAAATCGTAGCCCAGTCAAGAAACCTAGACGAGTGGAAGAAAACCACTTTTTCCTTCCCTTGCACACACCTCTTGCTAGCTCTGTGAACATGGACAAGATTCCTCATCTCAATGAACCTCACTTTCCTTATGTATAAAGTGGAAATAATTATCAAAGCCACAGAAAGTTATTGTAAGAGATAATAAGATGTTAGCTGTAAAAACCTCCCATTCACAGACCTGGCCCACAATGAGTGTACACACACATGTGAACTCGTACAGGAAACACATACAACACATGCAGCATTTCTGAGAATCTGTTACCCGGTAAAGCAAGCCAACATGCTTTAAAGGATCAGAGTCCTACGGTAAGGCACTAGCTTCGAAGAGCAGAAAAGAGCGTTGCCTGAGAGATTCTTGAGTCTTACTCATTGTACAGATGAGTAAACTGAGGCCCAGACAGGAAAAGGATCTTGACAAGTTGAATTGATGGCTGAACTGATCATTGTACAAGATCCTGAATCTGCACAGCCATACTACACATTCTATGGCTTCCTTCTTCATTTTTTGCCCATAAGAAATTATTTCCACTTTACTCTGGGAAAATTGCACCTCTGAGAAGGCAACTGCTTTAACTACTACCAAACAAGCAAAGGAAGCTGATGACAGAACTTGAACTATTCCCAGCTCTCCACAGCCTCAACCACTTCTTTCTAGGATGCATGCTGGGTCCCTGACCCCTGCAGTCCTCCATGGGGTTCAATGAAAGCCCTGCTAAACATCGCAAAGTCTGGATTTAGAAACCTCTAACACTGCAAAGCTTCTTTTATTTGAAAGGTGCTCTCTCCAACGATGACTAGTTAAATGGTTCCTTTGGCCTCATATTCAGACACTGCAAAGTTGTATTTTAAAATACGACACTGGAGAAAAATGCAACTTCCCTTTATAAAGACAGAAACTTTGTAAGTGATGATTTTAAACAAAATCTCAAAGCACAGCTTCACATTTGAATAGGATCCAGGTTGATCCTGGAAGAGAAGTACCTAGATTATTATTCTACAAACCAAGTTAAACCGAGTTGGTGGAGCTAAAATCATATGTTAGTCATTTAGAATTCTATGCATCTGATAGAAACTGAAAAATGTCTTGCTTTTATTACACAAGTAATTAATGCTCAAGGCAGAATAATAGACTACACAACTAAGTAAATTAAGAAAATTAAAATCATTTATTAAATACACTATTTTTTTCTTTCCCTTATAATGTGTGTATTTCAATTTATGATTACAATTCTAATTGGTGAAAAATTGTATTAGGTTGTTGGGAAAAACATGATGCATTTTTCTGTTTTTCTATGCAAAAATGCATCTTGAGTTTGCCAACGACCCAATAAGTCATCATGTTTATTTGATGGGTTGCTATACTTAGCTTACTCAAATACTTTGATGAAAGAAGCAGCTTGCGTTTTTGCCTTCACACAAACGCCTGGCCTTGATTCTGTTCTCTGAATAGTTGCACAACCCCAAGGAAGCTATTCAACTTCCCAGACTCTTAGTTTTTTCCTTTAAAAATTAAATGAAAACACTTCCTTTACAGCCTGTGAGAATTAAAAGAGTTAAAAATCTATGTTCAGGGACCAACAGATGGTGTAATGGTTACATTGCTGGACTCCTACATAGTCAACAGTGGTTCAAGTCCTAGACCAGGCGGCTTAAACTCATGCCAGGCACATGTGTGTACATGCCCCAGATCCCGAGAGGAAAATGGAGAAGAAGGGATTGTAGCGTGGCCATCCCTTCTGGCAGTGATTTTTTGCTTTCTGTCTCTGTGTCTGTCTTTCTGGTGATTGCACGTGTCCTATAGCAAAAACCTCTCTTAAAAAGAAAAAAAAAATCTATGGTCATATTTATCATGAAGTAGACAGTTAAGACTATTAATTTACTTTTTCCTTCAGGAGGAATGAAACCTTTAGCCGTACTTTCTTTTATTCAGTTACTATTTCCAATTTTGTTTCCAGAGAGTATTTTTGAATTTATTCTTTCTTTTCAGTGGAGTGAGCTTTTTAAGCAAATTTGATGAGCATGTTCTTTTGAGAAATGCGAGGTCCTACTGCAAGATGGGCAGCAGCTCTCCAGTGCATTTGTAAGATGGGATGGTTGATTCCGTCTCTACTTAAAATAGTGATGATCCATTCAAAATTAAAACACTGGACCCAACTGGCCTCTAAACACTTCAACAACAAAGGCATGAACATTTCTGGTAAATGTAGGGGAACTCCAAGCCAATTTCCTCAAAGCTATTTTAACAAGCCTGAAATGACCAAAGTCTTCCTGTACTCTTCAGTCAGGGCATTTACACATTCACTGAGCGTGGTGCAAAGGTAAGAGAGGCAAGCAATTTATACCTGATAAATGTTTTCTTCTGTTTCGGGATCACGGATTGGCTCGTGTCCAGCCTCAAACACAATGTACTAATACAGGAGCAGCCAGAGAGGAAAGGTCAGAGGTGAAAAAGAAAGAGGAAAAAAAAAAACAGGAATTCAAGATGCAAATTATAGTGAGCATTAAAGAAACAGGCATAAAAGAAAACACTTTTAAAGTTACAACCGGATTACTGGAATACAATGTGCCTTGCACATTCCTGCCTTTCCTGAGGACAACTGAGAAGGTCTATTGGTAGGTCCTTTCCTTTTGCGATGACTGCATTAGGCCTCTGCAGAGCTTTCTGGAGATATCCCATTCCGTGGCATTTTAGCTCCATTTTTGCAAGCTGGTCCTGCTTGCTGGGTGAGAATACTAACTTGCAGAAGTGCCTGGGATCCCAAACTTGGTGAATGTTGGGTTGCGATTAAATTGCCCTTTTTGGATCTCTGAGATCCAAAGTTTTAAGCCAACTTGAAAGAGCTCAAGAATGCCAAACTCCCTCATCTCACAGATACCACCTTGTTTCACGTTTTCAGTTTTCAATACTGAAAACCGATTTTCCATGTGTATATTTCAGAATAAAAAGAACTAGTTTTTTTATTAAACACAAACAAACAAAAACGCGGGATCCAGCAGTTAGCGTAATGGCTATGTCGCTGGACTCCCACGTAGTCAACCGCGGTTCGCGTCCCGGACCCGGTGGCTTAAAACTCACGCCTGGCGCGTGTGCGTGCGTGCCCAAGATCCTGAGAGGAGAATGGAGGAGAAGGGATTGCGGCGTGACCATCCCCCCTGGGGGGTGATTTCTCGCTTCCTGTCTCTATGTCTTTCTCTGTCTGTCTGGTGAGCGCATGTGCCCTATAGCAAAAAACCTCTCAAAAAACAAACAAACAAACAAACAAACAAAAACAAAAAAGCCACTCCTGATTTTTTTTTTTTTTTTGAAGCCCATTATCCAGGGACCAAAGCTCTTATTATAAACAAATTCTCACCCCTTAGTGTTCTGAACCACATGTAAGTCATGAAGTCCATCTTCGACTTTTGTTTGCAATATATTCTAGATACTTCTCTGCCTCAAGTTCTTTATGTTATTGTAGCAGAGGACCAGCTTTCTGTGTGAAAATATACGTTTGTATATATCACCCCTGTAGAACCCAGTTAGAAATATAAGTTTGAGTTTTTCTTTTGTGTTCAAAATGTCAGTTGTTTGTTGGTTTTTATTTCTTCTCTTTGGGAATGAGCACAGGGAGAAAGAGTACCTCTTCTTATTTTTGCATCTTTGTTTGAGCAGAGCCCATGTTTGAACCCCAGAAAGCTCATCTTTCTATCTACTCCTGAGCTGTGGACCTTGAAGAAAGTCCAGAGAAAGCTGTGAGCAGAAATATCTCTCAGATCCCTCCTTCCTCCTCCTGACAGGCCCCATGACAGAGCCAGGTCAGGGGTCAGCCTGTCCCATCAGGGCCAGAGAGACCGCTCCTTGCAGGCTTTCTAAAGCTTAAAACAGTCCTTGCGGTTTGTGCTCAAATATCACCCAAACGTCAGTCCCCATCTCAAGGTCTTAACTCAGAGAAGCCGCCTCATTATTCATATTCTCTCTAATGAACTCAGAATATTCAAGAGACTCCTGGAAATATTCAGCTCTGGGATCAAACTTTTACAGATTGCGGAGGAGCAGAGCAGGGGCAAGAGGGGAGAAGCGGTTTCCGAGTCCCCGGTTACTGAAGCTGGCCAAACGTCTGTTCGTTTTTATGGAAATTCACTCCTGGAGGGGCTGGCAGGCCTCACCCTCAGAAATAACCCTGGTACTGCTCCAGGTTCCACAGCCAGTCATTTCCTTAGGTTTCCGACATGCCGGCTGGGCCACAGGCCTAGCCTCTGTGGAATCTAAAACCCGGACTATTTCAGAAATTACCTGGTACACAGGATCTTCCACATCCTCTTCCAAAATTGTCTATTGCAGAGTGAGGGGAGGGAAGGTAAAAAGCAGAGGATATAAAGGAAGAGATATGAGACTATATTCAGAAATTAAAGGACAGTAAAGAAGCCAGCTCCAGGTAGGAGAGGCTGGCAGGTCATTAAGGTAGAAATCACGCAGAAAAAGCCCAAACGGTTGTAGCCACCCCCACCCCATGTCACCCCCATGTGAACAATAGCAGAAGCCACTGGGTGACTTTAGTGCTCCTCCCCTGAAATCGTCCCCTGGATTACCGATGTTCCTTCTCTAACAAGTCTAGAGTTTCAGCGAATAAAGGATCATTTCTCACAGCGTGCTTTGGGTGCCTGTAATTTACACAGGAACCTTTCATCTTTGTTTATTTCTGCTTGGTGGCATGAGAAAGCCTGTCAGTTTTCACATCTGTTTATTTCAAGCCCCGATGTGCCCCAGCACCAGGATAAATTCACAGCTGTACCTGGTACACAGCTTGTTCACACTGCTTATCCTTTTGTGCCTTTTTTTCCAATTCTTCTCTTTGCTTCAATTCATAAATGAGTTGAAAGAGATCTCTCAAGTCCAGAATAACAGGTTCAGCCTGGAGTAAAAGGTGGTAAGGCGCATTAATAGGGGAGGGTACTAAGCTGTAGAGACCAAGTTTTGTTTTTGCGGCTACAACCCGTAGCCCTTCCTTTTTCTATTAAACTGAAAGCATTCCACTCTTAATTAATTCTACCTTGTTTATATTGGTTTAGCAAATTGCATCTGGGCTAAAGTTCATTTCTTCAACTAATTATATTTGCAAATTCATAATAATCATAAGCATAAAAGGCATTGCTATTATTTATTAGCAATGTTGAGGACAATAAAATTAGGGCAGGCCTTATGCAAAACAGCTATTTGTTTTCTCTTATTTTCTTTTTAAATGAGGCTATGAACACAAGGAAACTTATCTGTAGACGGTGCCCCCACCCAGCTTAATCAGAAAGGGAAATAATTAGTCATCAGGAAATACCCATTAGGAACCAAAACAAAACTGGATGAGTTCATGGGCATGCTTTCTCGCTCCAAGGCTGCTTATCTTTTCTAGGTGGAAACCTGCATGTTAGTTTCTGGTGGTGATACATCACTCAGCCATACATGGAGTGGACCTTTGAAGACCAACAACAGACGGACTGCTGTCCTTGAGAGCTACAAGGAAAGGCACCCTCCTTGAACAGGAATACTCACCGCCTGGGCTGTTTTTATGGCCACAAATCTGTGATTCCCTTCCTTCCCACAAACGTATCCAAAGGCCCGGTGATCTGTGATGTCCTTTGCAATGTAGGAAATTTCGTGAACAGCATGATGATGCTGAAGGGCCTATCAAAGACAAAAGGAAAAGCAAATTTCAGGGGACTCTCCCTTCGAGCTGTTGATCAATAAGAGATGTGTTTCAGCTACGCGTGAACAGGCCCAAAGGGCTTTGGGAAAGCTGTTTGGTCCAGATGGAAGGGAAAGGAGCTGGGCCTGCCCTTGAGAAATGAGGTTCCCTCCATGGGCTTAATGCTGTGACTGGGAAGGTAAACAGGGCTGCTCAGATGCTGAGTGAGCCTCTGTGGCATGGCTGCAGCTCGTCAGTCTACTCCAGTGGGTAGGCACCTGCTCGATCTGCCTTGACGACACAGGCTGGCCCAACTTTCGGCTTGGTATTTCATGCACTTACATACCCAGAGCTCTTGTGTGCTGTGGTGGGGATGCACACTGTCCAACCTCCCAACCTCAGAGAATGCAACCAGCATTTTTGGTAGCACAGATTTGCCCAGTTAGGACCTTCTGCTGAGAGATGGTGACGAATGAACACCTTACTCCCTTTTGTCCATTTGTTACCCTCTGGGGTACAGGTGGGATCACACATCTCTCTGAGGGTTTTCATGGGTTGGCCCCTGTGTTTGTACCCTTCATTGTATTTATTTATTTATTTACTTATTTAGAGAGATTTTTGCTACAGGGTGTGTATGCTTACCAGAGAGACAGAAAGTACGAAATCAACCCCCAAGGGGGATAGCCATGCCACAATCCCTTCTCCTCCATTCTTTTGTTGGGATTTTGTGCATACAAACACCCAGTGTGAATTTCAAACTGCTGCATCTGGGACTTGAGCCATGGTCAATCATGTGGGATTCCAGTGCCTTAACCACTATGCCACATGCTGGCCCCATGACCTCCATTTTTAAAATTCACTTGTCCAACTCCTATTTGTCTTTCAAAGGCCATTTGAAACAGTACCACCTCTATAAAATCTCCCCTGAAAAAAGACTTGCCTTTTTTCTCACCACAGAAATAATCTCTAGCTTGTTTGTGTTTCCACAAGATTCTATTTAGTCTCTGGAGATAATGAAACTCCTGATGGAGTCCTTATATAGAGATTCCTGGGTTTCCTCACTTTTGCAGGCCTTCTTTCTCTGAGTAATTCGCATGATTTCTTGCATGCCTTCTCTACCAGGCTCTGTCTTCCTTATCTCTGTCATGTTAGAACTCTGCACCGGGCCTAGACCAGAGTTGTTGAACTAAAGTAAATTAGGATTGATGATCAGTACTCTGAAAATGTCTTGAAATAAAGCTTCCTGCTTTTATTATCCGAGCTTTGATAATCAATGTTCAACATTCTATTAGGTGATAGTGATCTTTGTGGTTATTTCCCTATATTAAACCTACTTGGAGCAATCTTCATTAAATAGTAGATATTTTTGTTTTGTGCTTTACTACAAGGCAGGTGTGTTTACTGGAGACAGAGACAGACAGCGAGCTAGAGAAAGTGAGAAAGCACCACAAGGGAGGATGGCCATGCTTTCATCCCTTCTGCATTTTCCTCTTGTGATTTTGGGCACATACATACATGTGCCTGGTATGTTTTTCAAGCTGACAGGTCTAGACTTGAACTGAGCAGTTGGCCATGTGAGATTCAGCCAACTTTTTAAAGAGAGATTTCTGCTATAGGGTATGTACTCTTGCTAGAGAGACAGAGAAAGAGAGAGACAGAAAGCAATAAATCACCCCCCAGGGTGCCATGCTGCAATCCCTTCTCCTCCATTCTCTTCTCAGAATCTTGGTCATGCATGCACACATTCCTGCATCAGTTTTAAGTCTCCAGGTCCGTGACTCAAACCATGGTTGACTACATAGGAGTTCAGCAACATAACCATTATGCCAGCTCCAGCCACTTTAATCACCATGACACTGGCTGACCCTAAACAGTACCCTTTAAAGGCTTATATGTGCATCTCGGTGTTTATGGTCTGTTTAAAGCCTTTATAAAAGTTTCTTTATTATACTGGGTATCAGGAGTTTTGAATCTTAGCTACTATGTGAACAAAAGGCACCCATTGTATATCTCTGAACCTCTGTTGACTCCTCTATGTTTGAGATATGTGCACCAGATTGATGGATCCTCACCCCAAAGCTGGAATTCCAGTGGTCTTAAAGGTAGTTTTAAAAAGGTGCCAAGCAGGACCAACAGATGGTATAATGGTTACATCACTGCACTCCCACATAGCCAACTGCGGTTCAAATCACAGATCTGGTGGCCTAACCCTCACACCAGGTGCATATGCGTACATGCCCAAAATTTTGAGAGGAGAATGAAGGAGAAGGAATGGTGGCATTGCCATCCCCCTGGGTGATAATTTCTTGCTTTCTGTCTCTGTTTCTGTCTGTCTCTCTGGTGAGTGCACATGCCTTATGGCAAAATTCTCTCTCTAAAAAAAAAGGTCCCAAGCAATTTTCCACATTTCAAAAAGTTAAACCAAACTTTATAAATTTTTTAAAAATTATTTCTTTATTTAAATCCATTTGTTGTTATTTTTAAAATTTGACCAGAGAGAGAGAATGGGAAAAAAAGAAAGCAAAGCACCAGGTCTGGGACTCAAACTGTAGTTAGTCATGTGGGAATCCAGTGCCTTTAACCACCACACCAAGTTGCTGCCCCCCCAAAATTTATAATTATTCCCACTAAATCTAAGTATTACTTTGAAAAAGTTTGTTTGGAATTATTTTAGGTTATTGTTATATGCCTTAACTCATATTTGAGCATATTCTTTCATTGACAAGTCATTATGATTTAAATAATACAAATAGAAAAATAATTGATTATGAATGCATTGTTTTGGTGGACAAAATTCACCCTATTACTGACTATGTTGAGGGGGTAAAAATATAACACACGAGAAATTGGTTAAGAAAATATTGGTCAGGATAAAGAGAAACAAAGGGGAAAAAACATTTAATGGACAAGAAAGTGGAAAATTAAGTGTTGGTGAGGATGGACATGGTACTATCTTTGGCTTGGACTAATATGCAGCATATTCATGCTGGTAAGATTTGTTTTGTATACTGTAAAGATGTACAGTGATTAAATGTAAAAAAAAAATTTCTTTTAAAAAGAAAGAGAATCCCCCTCCCTCTCCTCCCCCAAGAAAAGAAAACATTGGGAAGCACTGAGTAGATATTTTCTAAACTCTTTGTCCTCCCTCCCCAAATAAAGTTGGTGAAGACAGAAGTGTTTGCTCATAAAAATAATCAGGACCCACTTATTTTTGTTATATTAAGAGGACCTGTTTAGCTAGCATAAAACAACTTCTCAAAGAGCAGTCACTTTTTTCCAGTGTTAATGATGTAAAGTTGACGACATTTATATTTGCCCAACATGGGGGCATTGATTTATAGGCTTTTGCGCACCAGAATGGTGTGTAGTGGGAGAAAGCAGGAGACAAAGGCGCTCTTCTTCTCTCTGTTTCCTGAAAGTATTTCTCACTCTGCATAATGTGGAGAATGTTATCCACGTCTCCTATTAAATCAAAGTTTGACGACAGTGCCTTATTGATTGCCAAGTGAAATATTGCTCTAAAATTAAACTGCGATTAGAAGCCTTCCTGGTAGAATTAGATTTGGGGATGATTGTGCAATGGTAAAATATCACCTACCATGCAAGACAGCAGATGGAGATGTTTTAATTTATCTGAAAATCCTCATTAAGGGTTTAAGAATCAAAACATTTTTAACGCCTGATGATACCTAATACCGCCTCGCAAAGTGTAGCTGTGTGTAAGTGCGTGAAGTGCTTAAAGATATTTGTAACATTATCTTTTCCCATAGCTAATTTCACGACATGTTCAAAAGAATTGCTTTGAAAGTGACTCATTCATTTGGAAACTAACAGTCAGTGAAGAGATACGTCTCTACTTTCTTCAACCTTAACCATGCAGACGTAATATAGATACTTGGAAATACAAATACATTAGAATTCTGCTAATCCCACAGTTGTATTATTACATTCATTTTAGCAACTCAGAGCATCATGCAAATACTTGTTCACTGAGCCTCAAAATTGCCCCATGTCTTCAAGTAGATTTTATCAGTACAATCAAAGACAGTTGAAGCCAAAATGAATGAACTTTAAACATCACATACTCAGTTTATTCTTGAAGGGACTATGGCCAGAGAGCGTATGGGCAGACTGGCATGAAACCCAGGCCTTGCACTTACTACTCAGAATGACAAAGCACTGAAGAGAAGTAAACACACACACACACACACACACACACACACACACATGCACACACACACAAACACAGACAGGGTCAGCCCCACAGCCTAGGAGTAAGGGGAACCAGATCTCAAATGGCTGACCAAGGTCTGAATCTCAGCTCCAGCAGTGTGGAAAACTCACTGGGTACATATGTATGTGCAAAATCTCAACAGGGTGCAGAAACAGAGGAGAAGGGATTGTGGCATGATGACAACCTACGAAGGTGCCTTTTCCCTCTGTCTCTTGTGTCTCTGGTGAGTGCATGTGTCTTCTGGCAATTAAAATGAAGAAAAACAGGCCAGCAGGTGATGTAGTGGTTAAGACACTGGACTCCCACATGGCTGATTACAGTTCAAGTCCCAGATTTTGAGGCTTGCTTTCTCACTTCCTCTCGCTCACTGTCTCTCTCTGGTGAGCACATGTAACCTATAGCAAGTTAAAATAGTAAAAAGTAAATAAAACAAACTTTTAAACTATTTAAAAGAATCACTGAAAAAAGATTATGTAGAACCAAGATCTTTTTTCGTTAGACTCCTGAGTCACTAGTCCAATAACAAAAAGAGAAATTGGGATAAGGAAGATAAGCATAGAAGAACTTTGAAAGGAGGTAGGAGTGAAACTGTTTTGGATTCTGGCAGGTATCTACCTGAGGCCAGAGGGGTTATATATCAGAAGGTTTAAGATAAAGGTCAGCTACAAAAAAAAAAAAAAAAAAAAAATGGTCAAGAGTTCATGACCCGGAAGTTCACTCCCAGGAACTCCCAAGAGTCATCTGTGGTATCTGGTAAGCAGCCAA